TTTTGACATCTGGGCTGCATTATCAGTGTGTGTGTCTCCTGTGGGAACTGAACACGACCCACTGTGCACCATCAGTATGATTGTTTCTTCACTGACGGTGTCAACCAATACAAGACCAATGCCTCAATTGGACTCCGTTGTTTACTTCCACAAGATAGTGACATCTATATGTAGGACTCGCACTTCTATTGGCTAGCACTTCAACACATCGCACGTAAGGGGCGGGACATCTCTAAGCCGTTGACCAATCACACCAGAGCCAACCAGCTAACCAATCAGAGCAGACTGGGCTCTGGTTTCAGACAGAGGGAGAAAATAGCTTTTTGAACATAAAAGCATGGAAACATGTCGGGCACAAAATACAAATATGAAACAGAAAACGATCATATTGGGGCCCCTTTAAAGATGGATCATGATGTCTGCAGTCTTGCACTGGCTTCCATTGGATATCAAGTTATTATATATTTGTAATATTACTACTAAATGTCCTTTTCACTTATCTAACTTTGTCTGAAGAGACTTTATTGTCTTTACTAAACTGAAGACCAAAAGATGGATCGTTCCTGATCAAAACTCTGCTTTTATGCTATAGTTTAGCCGAGAGGTGTCATATGTCAGATAATATTGGCAACACCAGCTGCTCTCAGTTTCTGTGCTTGTCAGTCTTTGTGCAATCTTACAAATCTCTTCTGAAAACGTTTTATATGACCTTTTTTTCCATCATAATTCTCACCTGTGAGGCTGGATTATCTGTTGTATCACCTTCTTCTGTCTTTAATCTCAAGAAGTCATTTTATATCTGTTCTTACATTGGATACTAATGAACCCACTAGTCTGTCTTACTGTGTTGTTGTTTCTAACCTTGTATTTTGTTTGTCTCACAGGCACATGGACTCCATTCAACCCAGTGACGGTGCGCTCCATCATCTGTAAGTAGCCGCTGACCGTGACACGGCCAAATTCTACACAACCCCTCGTTGTTCTTTGTTATTTATTTGCCTCCTCTCCATGACAACTGGATACATTCATTACTGTTTGAGTAATCTGGAGGCATACACACACTTATCTCTGGCTCCAGTCACTGCTGCTGTAGTGGAAACCTGCAGACATTAATAACAGGAGGAAAGAGCATCAGCAAGAACAGGGAAAGTTTGTCTCGAAATGGAGCAGCCAATTCCCTCTCACTCCAAATATCGATCTGTGTGCAGTCCTAAAACAGTTGTCATGTGCTGACTGTGCCTCAACACATCTCAATAGGCTATGTAATAAAATCCTGGCTCATTTTCTGCTATTGCTTTTAAAATATCTTAAAGGGGACCTATCATGCAAAATGCACTTTTTTATGTCTTTTATACATAAAGATGTGTCCCCGGTGTGTCGGGGAACTCACGCAGCGTGAGAAAATAAAACCCTCTCTCTTTTCCTCCGTACCCAAATCTCTAAAAACGGGGCTACAACGGAGCTGATCCAGATTTGCGTCCGATATGACGTAATATCTGAAATGTGGATCCACGGCCCAATCAGAAACGTTGCTATCAGAAACAATGCCCGACTGTTTTGGACGTAATATGGTCGGTGTTTACATTAGCATCGCTAACACTCAGAGCTAACCTGTACTGGAGAGCATGTGTGTGAAGAAGCAGGAAGTAAAAAGGAACTCACCTTGTGGTATAACCGGCAAGAGAGAAAGCCTTTGAGCTCCAAACTGTTTCAGAGATAATCCTTGATAATCCATGATATGGCTTTTCATCACGGCAGAATCTGCCGGTAGAATCTCCCGTATGAGCTCAGCCCCCTCCTTTTTTTAATCATTTCTTTTTTATTTTTGTAAAGCTTTATACCCCAAATCAGCACTTTTGAAACAGGAAGTGAAATAGAGGGAGATGAGGCATGGCTAGAATGGGTGATCTGTTTGGTATTTGGAGCAAAACACTTCATAGACATGTTTTTTATATATTTGTATATATCTGAGACCTGTGCTATTGCCTAAAAATAGCATGATCTCTCCCCAGGTCTTATATGCACTGTTCCCTTTTTGTTGTGTGACTTGCAGAGTAAATTCCTCTAATCCCATCGCCTCCCCTTCCTACTCTTCCATACTCAGTAAAGCCATTGTTTAATAGTCCCCCAGCAAGGAGCATACCCCGTGATAACACTCCCTTTGTTGGGAGGTAATTGGATTGAACCGCATGAGGGTGAGGAGTAAAGTACTGGTGGAGCCAATGGAGCAGTTTTCTCTGTTCTAAAGTAGTTTTATGAGGCAGGAGTAAGTGAAGTGTGAGACCCACAGATTACACTTTTCAGCTCTGTGACAGCTCTTCAAAACTATATGTGGTGCTATTTCTGCTTTCTGGTCACACAATCTGCCCTAACTGCACTTTGCTGTGTATTGTTATAAGAGACAGAGAGTGAATAATGTCTTATTCTCTCCCACAGCAATGTTCGACAGGGAAAATAAAGGCGGGGTGAGCTTCAACGAGTTTGCCGGCGTGTGGAAGTACATCACAGACTGGCAGAACATCTTCCGGAACTACGACAGGGACAACTCGGGCTTCATCGATAAGAACGAGCTCAAGCAGGCGCTCTCTGGATTTGGTGAGACACAAAGTATGCTGGGATATTTACTTGGGGGTGAATGTGGTGAAGGGCTCTGAAGCTGTCTCTAGGAGTGTCTTTCCTTGGGGTCAAAAGGTCAGATTCTGTCTTTTTATTAGCTCTGTGTAAGTTTGAGTGAACCAGCATGCCGTTGGAAACGTTTATTAAAGAAATAGTGTGGAATTTCGCTCATGTAGTTTTACGACACAGACCTGCAGCTCCAGCTTGCTATTTACAATGCAGAACAAACTGTTGGGGACAAATCCAAATGTGTGATTGAGCGCAAAAACAATCATGTTTAAGACAACTTATTCAACAGAAATGTGTCATTTATTTTTGATATCCCATGATTTGTGTTTGTCTTTGTTTTTTCCAGGCTTTTGTTTATCTTCAGTAAATACAAGTCAGCCAAAATCAATACGTTGCTGAATATACATTTCAGTTACAGCGAGGGTAACTGCTCAGTAATAAGAATGTATCATATTAATGGTGGCAATTACAGAGGGGCCTCGGGTGTTTGGAGCTTGGGACTGTGTGGGTGTTTAAAATGCAGACTCAAATGAGTTCCAATCTATATGTAGTTCATTGTTAATGTCTTGTTTTCTTGTGTGCAGGTTATCGTCTATCAGAACAGTTCTACTGCACGCTGATAGAGAAGTTCGACCGCCAGAGGAAGGGACAGGTTGCCTTCGATGACTTCATCCAGTGCTGCATCGTACTACAGGTAACACATTCACATTAAATACAAATGTCACTCTTTATTACATGATGTATTAATTTATTTTCTCCACACATATGCATAAGTATAGGTTGTCTGTCGGTGTACTACCTGCAACACAATGAGGCTGCTCTGCAATTCAAAGGATTCAAAAGGGAGTTTTAATTATGCATACTTAAGAAACGCATTACAGTCCTCCCTTTTAGATTATAAATCTCCCGTTGAAGTTCCTCTTGATCCTTTATGTTCCGTTTCAGTGATTTCACACAGAGTGGTAATGGAAGCTGCCAAGCATAACTATAACCTTTCATTAATACAGAAGTTTCCCTTTCACCAGGATATAAAGTATCACCTGAGGTTTCAAAATAGCTCTAGAGGTGTCAACCATTCACTTTTTCGGCTCTCTACTCAGACCTAGATTTCAATGGATATCCTTGAGTTAAAAAATCTGCCTCTCCAGAAGTAAAGAGTAAAACCCTAAAACACTTCATATTTAGTCACCCAGTATTGAATCTATGTTAACTATAGTAGGAAATTAATGAAATGTGATAATGATACTGTTGTCAAATATTGATTTTAACATGTAATATGATACTTCATGCATTGGAGACTTTGGGGAGGAATTGAGATACAAACGATCATTTAACTCACTATTTCCCCCCTTCTTTCCGCAGAGGTTGACCGACGTGTTCAGGCGATACGATACAGACCAGGATGGCTGGATCCAGGTTTCATATGAACAGTATCTTTCCATGGTCTTCAACATTGTATAACGCACACGGATCGCCACAAAAGAGCACAACTGGACACAACTGTGCCAAAGCTACCCGGCAACTCCCAGATCTTTGTCTACGGTGGAAACTACAAGATTTTTTTAAACAACATTTGAAGCCCTAGTTACAGGTTAATTTCATACAAAACTTTATGAAATGAATACGGAAAAACTTAAAGCAGCCTTCAGTTCTTTTATGGGTGCAATACTCCCAGTATTTGGAGGTATGTCTACAATTCTTCATTTATTAAAAAAATCTTGTAGTGTTTTATTTGATGACGTATCGGATCTGTGTTGGTGTTGGGGAACATTATGGACACATTCTTTCTGTCTGTCTGTCAGTCTGTCTGTAATTGTCGGAATACTTTTTATCGTCTTAACTTTAATTGATTCAATTTAATAAAAAAAATTCTGTTGACAGGAAAATAATGCATTGTAAATATGATTTAAGATGCATTGCATGCTTTTCAGGGAAATGTATCCCCACGTTGAAGCATGCTTTCCCTTTCTCTTGTCTTTTCCTCAGCCCTATTTTGCTCCAAGCCATGTTTACAAAAACAGTGAAAGCAGTTGACGTTCTGCCTCGAGATTCACTGACATGCCAGCTTACATGCCATATTTGTACAAACTTATTTTTAACTGCAAAATCTTAAACTGTTAGGACATATCATTTTTGGTAGAGGGTAAGCATAATGCCTTTACTTTAGCTTACTTTGTTTGTGCATGATGCCTTAAAATGTGTATAAATAACACGAAAGATAAATCTTTTATTAAAAAAATGAAAGAAAAGTTATTACGAGTTTGTATTCATCATTTATATGACCACAGAGCTACGTAGCATTGCAGAGGTAACTGCAAAGTGGCTCAATGTCGCCATCTGCTGGACGTTTGGAGTGTGTACCACCGCATTGCACCAACACGGAACCTTTGTTTCCTTGTTGTGGGGAGTAAAACACTGTTACACCCATATAGTTGTGTTGAAAGTTAGGATACTGCGTTTGAATAAAAAGTAATGCTAAATTGTTGTCAGCCAATGCGTTTAACGTGTTAATGTATTAAGCTAGAGCTTCTAGTGTTTAATGAGTGAGTTAGCAAATGGCGCTAAAACACTTTTCGACATTGACGTCAATGTTAACGGCTTCTTTTCGCAGTAAAACATTTGGACATGCGATAAAAACGAGTTTGTTTCCAGTTAAGTCCTACAGCAGTGCAACGGGAGGTGAACACTCAGAAACAGGTATGTGTGGAAACATGCAGTTACTCAACAATGTCAATGGGAGGCACCAGAGCCTGCAATAATATCAGTATAGATATTGGCACACTCAATTTCAACTATAGATCTTAAAAGCAATATTTTATCTAAAACTACTCAATTTAGAGCTTACTTATGGTACATAATGTCCACACTTGTATAGTTAAACAGAGAGGCTTACATTTCCACTCCCCTGAACTCAACCTTAAAATGACGTCTAAGATACTGAGGAACAAGCTCAGGTTTAATTAATTTACTTAATGAGGTCGTTAGTCCCACATGTGGAGTTTCTGCCATTTTAAAACAATGGTTGCTTTCCTAACAAAGGTTGGTGTTATTGTTGTTATTGTGATACATTTAATGTTTATATTTAATGTATTATTAGTGTTTCATATATATATATATATATATATATATATATAATGTATCTACATTATTTATTATTATGTTAGTGTTTTGTCTTTGGAGGAAGTGAAATATTGTGACATGTTGAATTGTTGAATGTAGTATATTCAAACCCCCACTCATCAAGAACAATTGTTCAATAAATCAATATAGGGAAAGCAGTTTATTAGTTTATATTTTGAAAAGGCGAAACCAAATAATGATTGTCTTTCTTTTGCTTCTAAAATTAATGCCTTAACTACATTTTCAAAATAGTTGAGAACACGTTTTAGATTGACGAAATAGTTTGGTGCTAATTTTGCTAATAAGTGACAATTATTCGACTAACATGTTATCTGCTCTGCCCTCCAATGCATGTTGCTTAAACTTGGTGCTAAAGTATAACTGTAATGTTAAAAAAGCAAAACGACCCTACACACAGGTAGTAAACATGGTTCCACTGCTTTGCACACAATACACTGTGATAATTAGTTTGAGGTGTAGCAGAGTAGAAAGGCCTGCCTGAGACAAATTGCCTTTTCCCTCTCCATCACTTCACTGGCTTTTGTTTAGCGCTCCATTCTTCTAGAATAGCAGTGTGAGCGAGGTTAATGCGTTTTGTAGCTTAGTTCCTTTGGTTGACAGTTGGATTCCTTCGGAGGAGCCTAAACAATGTCAGGTCAAATGCCTGCTGCAACTTCAAGCCACAGCCACTGGCAAACTCACACACACTTACAGTATAAACACACACTGAGACAGAGCAAGAGCCAAGGTCTTCACATCAATCCAAACCATCTCTTCTCATTGTTTCACTGCCTGTCAGAGATATCTGTCCACATGAACCAATTTACATTCCATCTGCATGCCTCCTACAGTGGACGACGTTAAACCTTTTATGTCTCTGGGTCTGAGTGTTGTGGTCCATGTTGGTCTGTGTCTCTATCTTTCTCATTCTTTGTCATCAGTTGTGGGACAGACCGTGGTCACAGAGCGCAGAGGGGCTGTGGTTTCCGTGGCAATAAACCGTCCCGAGGTGCGTAATGCGGTGAACCAGGAAACGGCAAGGCGTCTGCTGGAGGAGCTGGAGGCCTTCGACCGGAACCCAGACTTAAACGTGGCTGTCCTGCATGGGAAAGGTAAGATATTGTAAGAAAGGAAGGATGAAACAGTTGCAGTATCTTACTCAGAGGTACTTGACTTCACAGATAACTTACTGACATGCTCCAGAGGGGTTCATCTTGTTGAGGGGCTTTCTCTCCTCAGCATCAGTCATTTTCTTCTAGGGTTTCTTATCCCTTCCTGTATTCATTTGAACCTAATTCTTTAAGATTTCAGATCCACAAATGGAGAGGTTCTCGGTATATCATGACACTCGAGAGCCTTATACCTGCAAGTAATAGTTTTGGTAAAATATGCTTATTCCCTTAAATGCAAAGCGATTGACGAGATGATCGAACACCTTGTTAAGTCTACATTTGAAACTACTGCCAGCAATGAGTTAGCTGAGCTTAGCTTAGCTTAGCAGAAAGACTGGAATCATTATAAAATAACAGCTTCTGGCCAGTTAGCAGAACGTCTAAACCTCACTGCTTCTTGTTTGTTCTCAAAACAAGTTGTGGTTTAATGGAGTATTACATGCCGGACTGTGGCCGTTTCTCAATCGCAAGTAAAACTGCTGCAGAGCAACTATTTCAAGTATACGACGTCATCGAGTGGCGCCGAAGGACTGTTTAAATGCATGTTAAATGCCCAGCATTCTGCGCCACTCTATGACGTGTATACTCGCGATTGAGAAACGGCCGGTATTTCTTGGCCAGGAGCAGTCACTTCCTGGAGTCTCCGCTGATTGTTCGGCAGCATTGCAGTGATGACAATCCTCATACTCTAGCCTCACATTGACCGTGTGGTATTGATCTAATCACATAACTCTGGGCAAGGAAAGTGAAAAAGCATATTTTCTAAAACTATGTCTAAAGAGAAAATCAGGGAACGGAAGTTATTGTATTTTATGTTAGAGAATTTGTTTTTGCCAAAATGTATTGCACCTAACTTCCTGGTTTTATAAGTGAAGGAAACCAGACTTTTAACCCCTTTTTTAGAATATTATTTTTGTCAAGTCAAACGTTATTATCCAACCAGCGGAAATGTTGTTGCAGCCCGGTATACTAGCACATCCATGGGCCAAAAATACTTTCAAACCAGAGGGGGAGAACATTGTGGCTCATGTTCTGACGCAGTTATGGAAAGTCACAGGATTGTCACTGAAGCTTCTCAGCTCTTCATCTCTTCCTCTCCTCTGCCTTCAAACCTTCCCTGCGTCACATTCTTCCTCTGCGTCTTTTTTTCCAGCCTTTGCTCCTTGAAGTCCTTAGATCTAACCAAAGTGCCGAAGTGACCAAACCGAGTGCACACACACAAAAAACATACACACCTGCGAGGTGGCCTGCACTGTGTCAGCCGCCCACAGCCAGAATCATGCCAGGGCTCCTAATACCTCTCAAAATAATCATCACACACACTGAATGACCTCCTTCCCCCAGTGGAAATAATGTCTTCAACCTGGATCAACCTGCTGTATGAAGTGCACCGTGGCCTACAGAGACAAGTATATACTTTGTTTGGTACTTCAGAGGTTGGAGCCTCTCCAGATGCCGGCTGCAGGGTGCCACTAGTCTCAGCTGTGAACAGAAAACAGTGTGGGGGTTGGAGAGTAATTAGCTTGTGTTAAATGGGTTAGCAATGAGCTGCACAGTAGGTCGCTCCAGCTAAAAGGGCTCTTCTGTGATTCCCACTATGTCTGTAATGTGCTTTTAATCGTCTCCCCACAAATTCCTGTCAGCAGGTTGTCCTGTGTTGCAGCCCCACTATAGCCAGGAGACTGACCTTCAGAGGTGATTAGCCGTCTGTCTGTGCTATAAGATGACAAGCAGGGAGGTTCTATTTTGGCTATACCCTCTGAAAACATAAGGGATCCATTTTGTTCAAATTAGCGCCAACACAATCACACTCTCGGCTCTCGTTTTTCAGTGTCGATATGTTTTTTTTAACCCGTGAAATTAAGAGTAATTGCTTTCTGCAGGTTTTTCTGAATATGCTGGCACATATTTGGAGCGTTTGGGATTCGGATTTCAGTGGGCGTTAGTGGTCAGGTACGATCAGAAGTCAAGCTAGCTGCGTCACTACGGCACATGTTCATCTGAAGTGAGAGGAAGCCAATATTGTGTTGTCTGTAAAGCATCACTAGTTTCATAAAACACATTGAATCTAACATCTTTCAGAGGTCAAAGAAATTAAAAACGGCAACATGCATGTAGTTGTATTAGTCCATTTGAGAAATACAATCAAATCTCTTAGTATTAGAGAACAGGACATTTGAAAACATTTATATATTTCATATTTGCATACTATTATCTAAATAATCACTTCAATGCAGGCTTTTTAACAGTTACAATGATCCGTTCTATTCAACATTTAGAGCCTGAAACTGAAGCGGCTTAATAGAATTCAGCTATCACTCATTTCAATTAACTACTTTTATTTGGAAATGTGTGTCATGCTTTTTTAAAATATATTTTGGATAAAAGGATCTTGAACCCGTATAACAACAGCCTCGTTTCACAATCATTGCCCATATATCTCAGTTTGGCCCCTCAGTTCATTCACAAACCTCCTTCAAAGTGTAAATGATGCTTTAAGATCTTCCATGAATTGACCAGCTCTTCACAGCTCTCTTTTTTCTCGATCAAGGTTTATGGAGCTGTGTCACATCGCTGCTCCCATAAACAGCATGACGCACAGTTTCTCTATAATTGCCCTGTGTTGACCCACAGCTGTAATCAAAGCTCCCAGTCGATGGGTGTCGCTGGCACATGCGTTCGTTATAATCATTTTCATTACTGCAACATTACGGAGAGAGGAGAATTGTATGAGTCCCTGCCTGAGACTGTGACATAGTGTTTGTAGGCCTCATGGGTAATGTTGTAATTACCACATGAATCCAACGGAAGGGGCTGTGGTCGGAGTATGTTAGTCTTTCATTAATGAGGATATTGTGTATGTGCACATGTGTTGGAGCACATGCGTGATTTGTGACTATGGCCTCTTTAGGGAAGAGAAGCTTTTGTGTGCCAGCCTGCCAAAAGCGAGCAGCTATCCAAATTGCAGCCCGCGGACTCCAGCTCAACTTGTTGTTTTTTTCATCCTCATCATTTTCCCTTCCTCTCTGACTTTCCATCTGCCATACTTTGTAATTTTGTGGTCTCCTCCAGGAGGGAATTTCTGCGCTGGTTATGATCTGAAAGAGCTGGCCAATCACACAGCCTCCCTCAAATTGGAGCAAGATGTCACCAAGGGTCCCGGTCCGATGGTGAGCGCTGTTTGTGTGTGTGTGCTAGTCGGGGTCACATCTATATTTCCTTACACTCTTACAGGAGGGCTCGTGTTTTACTATTAAAATATAAAACCAGAAGATGTGATGACTGGTGATTGAGAATACCTTTAAGAGTTTGTGAAGACAGGTAGTGGTGAAAATGGTGGTTTGGGAAATGCCTCCATATCTACAGCTGTGTGTGTGCAGGAAGTCCTCATCTCCAGCACACTGCTATCACTTGACAACAAATGAGGATTATGGTGTAATATATTTCCTGCAAGCTACAAAAACTGCAGCTTTGATTGCGTGTAAAGTCTTTGGGATGGAGAGGACCTCCTGTGCAGAAAATGATAGCGCTGGATCCCTCACAGAGTACACTGGGCTTCATTTGTTCAGCAACAGCCAGAACTCAGATCATTTGTTACTCCTTTGTTTGACAGTTTGGAATCTAGATTTTTTTTGTGTATAAACCATGGAAATCCGAGAGGTCCAAAAGCATCAAATAAAAGAAAACATGCCTTCATATATATATAGATGGTTCAAATATACCTTACAGTGTATATTTTCTACAGGAAGCAGTGTTAACAAGGTGTATTCCTCCTCTGCAGTGTGTGCTTTGATGGACTAATCTGTTATTTTGTTCCAGGGTCCGTCCCGCCTGCAGCTGTCGAAGCCGCTGATAGCAGCCATCAGTGGCTTCGCGGTGGCTGGAGGCCTGGAGCTGGCTCTGCTGGCAGACCTGAGGCTGGTGGAGGAGAGCGCCGTCATGGGGGTGTTCTGTCGCAGGTTTGGTAAGTCTGCCACCTCACGCTGCTGCGGACCTTACTGCTGCTACTATACTAACTGCACTGATCTTCTATAAGCAGTTGTGGTGGTTGGACAATAGTACTACTTTTTTGTTCATAACTTTTATTCACGGTAGTTTCACTGAACGCAGCAGCATATTTTTAAGAACGCCTTCTGGCATAGACACAGTTACACACATACAAACCCAAAAGCTGATCAATACAACCACAGTGTGATCTGTTTGCCCCTGAGAAGCTACACTGGATCTGCTGAGGGGTTTAGGGACTTGCTTAAGGGCAACTCACTGGTGATAATGAAGGATGTGCAAGCACTGCTTTTTCCCTTTCTCTGCCCAGGTTTATGTTGCTTGTCCAGCATGAAGTCCCTCAGGTCACAAGCCTGCTTCAGCCAGTTTTCAACTATAAATACATGTGTCTATTGCTGCAGGCTCCTGTACTAGTAGGACCATTTCACTACTACTGTCTCAGATTTTATTTTTTCGCAAATATTACTTCTTAAAATGTCTCAATTTTTGTTGGATATTTTTCTCTTTAAAGAAACCGATTGATAACATAAACTTGTCAGGAAAATGATAATTGCTATACATCCACAACTACTTAAATACATCTCTCTACTTGTCTACTCAGTGCCTCTTTCATTTAATGTATTGGTTTATTTTAATTGGGGAAATGATAATTCCACATTATTAAATACACCTAGAACATATATCAAGCCTTATCACAACATGACTGACTGAATAAACTCATACACTCTTACAGTATACATTGTTGCTTCTTCCACTATTACTACTATCACTGTAGTAACGGGCATAGTGCCCCCCCCATTCTCTGTTTTGCTGCTCCTTAAGCCTTTGTGTATCTGCTCATATAATTATATCTGTCCATGAAAATATGGTTGTGTTTTTCTTTGCATGCATCATCTGTCTCCTAATGCCAGGAAGTCGACACTGTTTCTATTTTCTAACTTCGTTACTCCGTCCTCTGTTATCAGCCTAGCCTTCTTGTTTGTGTCCGAGCGCGGCGTCGTAGTGCGATAACACCGGTGACCGTGACCTTTTGGCATCGCGGCCCCAGTCTGCTGGGCAGTCTTGATAAGTAGGAGAGGAAGCGACCCACTGCCAGGTTTCCACTGCGGGGCCGAACATGGCTCGCATATTATTTATGTGTCACAATTTCCTCATAAACAACATTTTCCTTTCCTCGCAGCTTACTGGCATGGCCTGCCCGCTGACTCGGCTATAGTTTCAAAAGAACAAGTAGTACTTTGCATCTTCTGCTGTAAACACTTCAAGCTAATCCTGATCCCAGGACGTCGTGGCTGACTTCACTTTGTAAAAGTAGCTCGTGTTGGACTGTTGCTCATCGCTTTAGCCATGGTTCTGGAGGGTTTGAAATACAACCATGGTGTTTATAAATAAAACTGTTGTACTATAATTTACTGGCTGTTCTAGATTTAGAGTGTAAACATGCAGGGCTTATCTTCTCAGGCCTGTAATTTACAGGAGAGCATCCTAGCAGTGCCCGTGTCTGTCTGTCTGTCTGTCTGTCTGTCTGTCTGTCTGTCTGTCTGTCTGTCTGTCTGTCTGTCTGTCTGTCTGTCTGTCTGTCTGTCTGTCTGTCTGTCTGTCTGTCTGTCTGTCTGTCTGTCTGTCTGTCTGTCTGTCTGTCTGTCTGTCTGTCTCTCTGTCTGTCTCTCTGCTGTCTCTGCCTGTCTGTCTCTCTGCCTCTCTGTCTGTCTCTCTCTCTGTCTGTCTGTCTCTGTCTGTCTGCCTGTCTGTCTCTCTGCCTGTCTGTCTCTCTGCCTCTCTGTCTCTCTGCCTGTGTGTCTGTCTGTCTCTCTGCCTGTCTGTGTCTCTCTGTCCGTCTGTCTGTCTCTCTCTGTCTGTCTGTCTCTGTCTGTCTGTCTCTCTGTCTGTCTGTCTCTCTCTCTGTCTGTCTGTCTCTCTGCCTGTCTGTGTCTCTCTGTCCGTCTGTCTGTCTCTCTCTGTCTGTCTCTCTCTCTGTCTGTCTGTCTCTCTCTCTGTCTGTCCGTCTGTCTGTCTCTCTGCCTGTCTGTCTGTCTGTCTCTCTGCCTGTCTGTCTCTCTGTCTGTCTGTCTGTCTGTCTGTCTGTCTGTCTGTCTGTCTGTCTGTCTGTCTGTCTGTCTGTCTGTCTGTCTGTCTGTCTGTCTGTCTGTCTGTCTGTCTGTCTGTCTGTCTGTCTGTCTGTCTGTCTGTCTGTCTGTCTCTCTCTCTGGTGGCATGGCTTCGGGGCCAGGCCACGCTCCATTCTCTCTGCTTAGTCGCTCCTCAGTGTAGGAGCTGTTTGACTATATCTAAGACAAATATGTTTATATTTATAAAAATTATGAATAAATACTTTTGGTGACAGTCCTGAGATGCTGGTATTATAACAGCACTTGTAAAAAAAGATTCAAAAATATAACCAGCTTTATTTATTACAATGCTTCCCCCTATACATTCTTTGTTACCTGCTGATATGTTTACGGCATCTTAGCTCTTTGCCAGAAACCAAAAGAGAAGCAGGAATACACCAGGATTGCAGATAACAGTTCAGATTAGTTGACACTGGAGAAGATGTATAGTGACACACTTCTTTTAACAGATTTTAAGGACCTCAGTCTAAACTCTGCATGTCCCATTAGGGAGCCTGCACTTCTTCCATCAGCTCAAAACTATGTTTGGGAGGCAGAAATTAGCGTTACTGTGGTTTCGACACATTGAGTTGCACATTTCCTCCCAGTCATTAATTATCTGCCTGTTGATGGCCACATATCTTTTGGCTTGTTTGTCAACACATTTGACTCGTTTCCCCCAGCTTAGTTGAAACCACTGTGGTCTTTCAGATGTGCATTGAGCAGAGTGAGTATAACTTAGACTGCTGGTTTTCAGCATTTATATACACATACACTACCTAGCTGTATGATACACAACCATCACCTTCCTGAAGCTGTAGTTAGTGAAGTCTCAATACTTACTTACCAGATTTAATGAAGGCTGCATTCCACAATGAGACAATATACATAAGACCTAAAGTAAGTTTGAAAAAAACATATTAACAGTGGAAATAAAGTGCATTTTCCAAACATTAATCAATTGAAAAACCGAACTTCCCTCCCATTTACATCAAAAGTAGCACTGCTCCGTGGGTAGCACAGTTTATTTAAAGATCCCGTGTTTCTTACAGATTGTTTCCTTTTAATGGTTGAATTCTGTAACCGTTTTGGGGTCGGGCACAGATGGCAGCAGCCGGAGGGAATCCCTGGTGGCTTTGGAGTCAAAAAACCTAGAGGCTCTCTGCACCGCTCTGATGTGGGCCAATAGCAACCAGAAGGATCTGACAGCTTTCTGGCATGTGATTGGCTGCCGAACCTGCGGCTTCCTGTCTGGGGCCCCTCTGCCTCGCCGAGGAGGAAATGAGAAGGAGGAGATGGTTGCGTCACGGGAGTCTGGTATTAGTGTCTAGTGCTCGTTGGATTTTGAGAGACCTGAATGAAAAACCACCGTGCTTACCTAATTCCCTGGTGTTATTCTGGTTCCTGAACCCAGAGGAACATTACAAAGCAAAAAAAAATAGTTGGCACCGGAAAAGGAAACTTAAAATAGTTCACTAATACTTCATTCAAGGATCTTTCTTTGGTGGTGAGGCTAAATCAGGCGAGCATGGAGGTTGTCCAGGATTGTTAGGATAGCGCTCCTCTGATTTTCCAGTTTGAAGTCAACCGCCAAATAAAGACCCCTCAAGCAAGTACAGCAATAAGTCATAGCAGTGTGTCCTCCATTTCTCTTCTTCTTCACAGTTATAAGTCCTGTCTCATACCTGGACGAGGGACAGACGTAGAGTGCCAAATAAGAAGAAGCCACATGTTGAATCGAAGTCAAACCTCCGTCCAAAGCCGACATACCATCGGCCAATTCAAACACCGCTCCGTGAGTTTGAAACTGAGTGACATAGTCCAGTGACTACATCGTCTCTCTTCAAAACCGACCTTTTGAAACGTTTTAATAAGGAGTGAATGGATAGAGCAGTTGTTTGTAGTGATAACATTTTAAGTGGATACACTGATGTGGACATTGTTTTTGACATTTACAAATAGCTTCATATTAATTTAAAGACAAATCATGGATAGAATAATTACAAACATTGTGCCTCACCTAAAGTTACTTGGGAACAGCCTGGGTTCATGATATGGGATGTTTAAACTATGATGTAATTTTCTTCTGTCTTATGATTTGATAGATCTGTTCCCCAGCCATTTTCCTGTTTTAAGGTGCTGTTTGCTGCCATGGTGGTCTCGTATGATGCTGCTCTGCAAACTAGAGAATGCACAGCCCTGGTGTTCACTCAGTGGGCTAAATACATGAAATCAAGTTAACTGTGTGGCGCTCGTGTTTGACCCAGCCCAGTGCAGCTATTTTCCTTAATTTTTTGTGAGGATTTCAAAGTAAGCTTCCGTTTGAAAGTCTGCTTTTTTCCCCTTTTATCCATTTAGTCTGGAATTGTCCGGAAATTGTTAATCCACATCAAACTTAATCGCATTACCCTCATCATGGGAGGTCATTGTAGTGGTTTTACTTTGATGTGGTGAGGATGCCAGCAGCACACGGGAACACCTCACTGCACCGTGTTTCACACTCTTGTTCTCAGGTTATTAGAAGCTGTAGATGTCGGATGTGATCTCTCCTTTCGTAAGACTTGGCACTAAAATCGCGTAGTAAAAATTATACTGTTACGCTTTGGCTTCCTAATTTTACAAGAGGTCAGCTACAGAGAAGCAAGGTTCAGCTGCTAGAGAGTCAATGTTTTGATTTGAAATACTGAGCAACGCTTGTCATTTTACAACAAGAATGGTTATGTTTGTACCAAACAGACCTGATCTGCAGCATTTATTCCTGCAGTTAAAACCCATCGATTAACCTCTTTCCCAGCCGCAGCAGTGAGGTATTGTTTTCATCTTGTGAGTCTGAGAATGTGTGTCATCGTGACAAAATGTGCTCCTGGAGACACCTACTCCAGCGAGAAAATAAGTGAAGCCGTTTTGAGTGGTTTGCCAGGTGTTTATATTTGTCTTAGATTTCAAAACTTCACAAGTATAACATTTAGATTAAAATGAAGGCCCCCGCATAATGCCCCATCGTGTCTGTGCGTCACTGCTGGTTTCATCTCTTATCACAAGATTGTGTCTCATGTCTTTTGATACCAATTTAAGCACAGTTAAAAACCTTAACTTTAATAAAAGGTAGTAATGTTTTTTTTAGAAAGCCACTGTGCATAAACTGTCTTTCAGAAGTGGTAGTATTTATATCTTTTATAACATTTAATATTGAACGTTTGCGGTTCTGTGGGTTTGTTTGGATGAGGATCAGCACCTCCAAATCTGAGGCCATGGTTCTCAGCAGGAAACCGATGGACTGTCCACTCCAAGTAGAGAATGAGTCCTTACCCCAAGTGAAGGAGTTAAAGTATCTCGTGGACTTGTTCTCGAGTGAGGGAACAATGGAGCGTGAGATGGGCCGGAGAATCGGAGCAGCGGGAGCGGTACTGCAGTCACTTTACCGCACCGTTGTGACGAAAAGGGAGCTGAGCCAGAAGGCAAAGCTCTCTGTCTACAGGGCCATTTTCGTTCCTACCCTCACCTATTGTCATGAAGGATGGGTCATGACCGAAAGAACGAGATCGCGGATACAAGCGGCCGAGATGGGTTTTCTCCGCAGGGTGGCTGGTGTCTCCCTTAGGGATAAGGTGAGAAGTTCGGTCATCCGGGAGGGACTCGGAGTTTAACCGCTCCTCCTTCGTGTCAAAAGGAGCCAGTTGAGGTGGTTCGGGCACCTAGTTAGGATGCCACCTGGGCGCCTCCCTAGGGAGGTGTTCCAGACACGTCCAGCTGGGAAGAGACCAAGGGGTAGACCTAGGACCAGGTGGAGGGATTATATCTCTTCGCTGGCCTGGGAGCGCCTTGGCATCCCCAGTCAGAGCTGGTTGATGTGGCCAGGGAAAGGAAAGTTTGGGGCTCTCTGCTAGAACTGCTACCCCCGCGACCCGACCACGGATAAGCGGGGGAAGATGGATGGATGGATGGATGGGTTTGTTTGCATTTTTGCCTCTTGCTAAACGTGACTGAAGAATAGACAAATATTTTAAATAAAAGGAATGGAAACCAAAATACCTAATTTTCTAATTGAAACAATTTGTCGTGACTCATAGTATTCAAAAGAACTGAGCTGCTATCACAGAAAAACACATTACATCCAACTCTGTAGCAACTAGATAAAACACAAGGTTCCTTCTTCCCCCCCCAGACCTCTCCAACACGTCAGTCAGATAAGCTGTGATGGCACTGTGATGCAGGAAGATAGCCACCTCTGATATCTAGTTATTAAACAATAGGCTTTGCTGACTCATGTTCAACCTTGTTAATAACAAGCCTTAGTCTTGACATTGGGCTTATCTACTTTAAAGTAAGGCAGAGGGCTCATTTCCAAATGTTCCGAGCATTACTGAAGAACAACAATGACAAATCCCCCCCAAAAAACCTTACTGATTATCTAGCATCAGGATCACCGCCAGACATTTTCCTCTATGGATCTTGGAATAGGGGATCAGAAGCCACCGCTCCGCCTCAGCCATCTTCTTTCAAGCCAAACATGCCTTTTGAGTTAAAACGACTTCAATGAGTTGCTTCCAGCCTCTCAGCTCCCATTCATGTGGGACAAAGCGCAGGTCTCTGTAAATTCCCGCAAACAGGACACATCAGAGACGGGACTATCAGACGGAGAGGAGGGTGAGGGCTGGAGGTGCTGGAGACGAGTGCTGCGGATAAGAAGGGAGATCCTTCCGGTTGCTGATAGCGATGGTGCCAACAGACTGGAGGTCAACCTGGCTCTTTATCTATCCTTTTAGAGTCGGCTCTGTCTTCCTCTCACTGTTTTAGATCCAGCCTCCTGTCTCCCGCTTCCTCTTTCTGGCTTTTGCTGTGACGGGTGATAGTGTTGGACCCAACACGTAGAAGCTCTTTGCACTAGTCACTGAGAAGTAGAACAATGATTTCTAACCAGAGCTACAAGTGCTTTTGCAAATGCTTACGTGGCAGAACAATTGTGATTTGGCAACTTTTATAGATATTAATGCAGTTAAATTTAGTGCGAGACGGAGCTCCATCAAAACCCTGGAAACACTCTTTTTTTTCTAGTAGTTGTCTGATTCAATATTGAAAATACCTTGAACCTCTCACACAAACCCAGACACACACCTGTGCAGCAAGGGTCCATGCTATTCTTAAAATTAAATTGCAGCAAAAATAATTTGTCATTTATGTGGCATTTAATCGTCTCAAGGTGCTCAGCACAGAAAAAATGAGTAAAATCTAGTTCATGGAGACAGTGTAACACCGTCCTCCCCCACATAATCACAATCTTCTGTCTTTCGGAGAACCATATGTGCCGACGGTTTGAGCCCCAACCAGGCCCCTGGAGAGGTCGCACTTGCATTAACACTGGTATTCCATGTATTCCGATTTAATTTATTTGAACGACACGGAGCAAGAGTCGAAGTCCCAGAGTATGAATAGAATCACAGTATTTCCACGACTCCCCACAGAATGAGAGAGGGCGGAGAAAAAAAGAAAAGAAAGCTAGCTTGATGATTTGGGGTTATGAAAACATGTCCGACACATGTGCTCTCAATAAGGGGCGGTCAAATAGAATCAGCGACTCTGAGGAATTAGGGAGTCGGGATCGTGGCGTGGAACTTGGGAGCCCCTAACAGTAGAACGCATGCCGGTTCCAGCTGGTGCTCTTTAGAAATTAGGACAGATGCCAGAAGCTTACTGTACCTCGCAGTGGACTCTCTCTGCTCTCCTTTCTCCCCCTCTCCCCCATCCCTCTCTCTCTCTAGTGTAGACGGTAATAATGCAAATGTGTCCAGTGAGACTGAGAGTTAGGAGGAGTTGGAGTTTACGCACTCACTGAAAGAAAGCAGAGTTACAGTTGAGGAGTAAAATTGTTTCTAAACTTTTTTCCCCTGCCAGCTGTAACCTAGATTAATGCCAGCGATATATTATGTCTTTCCAAGTGTTTCTATGACTGTTTTCACACGGTGACCTAAGCCAAATACACTGGCACAGTGCCTCACATTTCCTCTCACCTTTTACAGTTAAGAAATCCACATTTAGGTCTAAATGTAATTTTATAGAAAACCTCCAATTCCACTTTCTGGAAATATTCTTTACTTGGGCAGCAATCTCCCAATGTGAGAATTGTAAAGTCAAAAAGATTGCAACTCAGTTATTTTCATCTTTAGACTATCATTTTTTTCTGAATTAGTGGTTCTTATTTATCGGATGTGGCAGAATTAAGCTGACCAATGAAATCAGAAACAGGTTTATTGCCAGGTAGGTTCACACATACTAGGAATTTGACTTGATGTCACGGTGCATACATAAAATATAAAAAACAAGAAATCTAATATAAAACACAAAATCTTTTACACCGTAATAAAATACAGTTAAATAGCAAAAATAAAGCAGTAATTTACATGGAAATAGAATGCTATGAATGAATTTTAGAATATAAACTATGAAATGTGAAATATGAATATGTGCAGAAAGGAGTATGAACATTGTGTGCATTAATGTAATGCATATAGTCTATGATGTGGCAGAGGTCAAGTGTCAGCGCGGGGGCCGGTAGCGGAGGGGAAGAAACTGTTCAGGTGGCGAGAGGTTTTAGTCCCGATGGAGCGCAGCCTCAGGACATCAGGTACACCACCTGATGTTTGATTTGCAGTGGGAGAGGACTTTTAGTATAAATATCAAAAATGCAAGAAAGAAAGATGCATTTCATACTTCTTCTCTTTCTTTTCAGGAGTTCCCCTGATCGATGGAGGCACAGTGCGGCTCCCGCGTCTCATTGGACTGTCTCGAGCACTCGACTTGATTCTGACTGGACGACCAATCGGAGCGCAGGAGGCTCTCGCCTACGGATTGGCTAACAGAGTTGTTCCTGATGGCCAAGGTATTGGACCTGGTCTAGATTCTGTGTAATGTGTGCAGTTCCATGGATAGGACTTGGTGTCGCACCTGAATATGTGTCACGAGTATAGAAAATCTTTAGAAGATCTTAAACATTGGTATTGAATGCTTGGTCACATTCTTATTCTTTTGACCTCACCTTTGACTATATATATACTTTTTTTCTTTTTTTGATCATAACAAAAACAGAACAGGATCTCACCCAAATCCTCCCAACCAATCAGATTAATGAACAAGCTCTTCAAACCTGTGGACAATATCTCCCACTTCTTCACAGTTGATAAATGTATCTCCTTTCTGGCATTCTACCGAGCAAACATTGAGAATATCTACAACTTACTGGCCCCCCCCAACCTCCTCATTCTCCCCCAACTCCCCTTCAGACCTCAACAAATCACTGCCTGGCATGAAGACTCCCACTTGCCCCTAGGACCCCATCCCCTCCACATTACTCACATCTCATCCCCCTGCTCTCTGCCCGCTCATCCTCTCTGTAATCATCTCCTCCCTGTCTGTCTCAGCCCCCCCTCCTGTCAAAATGCCTCTGTTACACCTATCCTCAAAAAACCTGGCCTTGACCCTGAGATCCCAACAGATACAAACCAATCTACTATCTCCCTTTTCTGCCTAATATACTTTAACGCACCTTCGCCTCCCAAGTCAAATCCCTCACTCCCCTCTTTTTAAACTGCACTCAAAACCCACTTCCTTAAAGCCTTTTGATATGGGACCCCACCCCTGCTTTGTTCATTGTTATTATTAATGTAATTAATTGGTGTATAAGCTGCAACTGCGGTTTCCTTTGCGGTTTACTCCTTTTAAAGTGCCTTTTAAGTACCTTTTTAAACTCTATAAAATAAAATGTATTATCATTGTAGTTAGTATTATAGGACATTTGTTGGCAAAAAGAAGCGATGTGAAGAGCAGATATTGGGGAGGCTGGAAGCCCTCCATCTGTCTGGGGGAAGTAGAAAGTAGAAAAGATCGTTATTCACTTTGAAGACATGTCGACACCACCGAGAAAAAAGGCCTGTGACACATTTTTATTCAGGAAACATAGTTTTTAAGAAACTCTATTGTAGTGAAGATCAGACAAAATCCTATATAACGTACTTATTTTCCAGAGAATCTGTTTTCATTATTTGGCTTAAAAAACAACTCTGCAGCCATAACTCAGCATTAGCACTGCCCTCCTCACTCATCCCAGCAGCAGTCTGAGGATTTAGCTGTGCATGCATTTCAATGCAGCATTTCCTGTATTAAATTAAAGCATGAACGCCCCCGTATCCTTACAATCCCAAAAAAGCCTTTCCATGTGCAAATCTTTGACTCCCCCCTACTCCCCTTAGACATTAAAAGAAGATTAGCTTAATTCTTTTAGGAAGTTCCTCTTCCCACATTCAAGCCTCGGTCTAATTGGCCTCTCTGAAGGATGATGATCTAGCGGGTTTAACATCAGAGGGAAGCTAAGAAGTAGCAGCTTACTAAAACACACACACACATAGGGCATCAAAGTGTGGCATCATGATGCTTAGTTTTTCTCCATACGACCGATGGGGATGTAGTCCTGTGCTTCATGTTCGTGAGCAGCAACAGCAGGGACACGCAGAATAGAAAGGCTGCCGCTGAGAGAAAGGGTTATTAACACATTCACCTGTATGGATTGTCCCATATTATGAATGCATTTCCTTGTATATGCTGTGTGTGTTAATCTGTGTCACTGTTGGACTGACTTCATGTTGTAACCACAGCTTTGCAGGCAGCGCTGCAGTTAGCAGAAGAGATCAGCTGCTTCCCTCAGCAGTGTCTGCGGGCCGACCGCTCCTCAGCCGTCTACAGCTGCTACGATGCGCCCTCTTTCACTCAGGTACACGTGATATAAGAATATATATATATATATATATCCTTTATTTAACCAGGTAAAAGACTCATTGAGATTAAAATCTCTTTTCCAAGAGTGACCTGGCCAAGAAGGGCAGCATGAACAAAGATACTAGATAAAACACAGACAATACAGGCAGACAAATACAGCTGTAAAACACAAATAAAATGGCACATTAGCCAGTCAATATGCAAAATAAAAGAAACTATTAAAAATCATTAAAAACTGGCAACATTTCAAACGACTTCAATTTTTGGATATACGAGCACTCACATCTACCAATGGTGTCGTGTTCTCTGTCACAATACACATTAGCATACCAATATTTCAGCTTTATATGACGTACTGACACATTTAGTTGTTTCTAAGCCTTTTCTGCATGGAGATGATTTATGATATCTGGTCATAGAAGTTAGTTTGCAATGAGTTTAATCTGTGTTGCTCTGTGTAGGCCATGCAGTATGAGATGGACCACGGAATTCCTGTCATCCAATCAGAAGCTGTCAGTGGGGCAGCCAGGTTCACGACGGGAACAGGAAGAGGAGGACAATTCTCCTAGGATTCAGTTTGAAGAGGCCTTGTGACTCTCAGGTGATCTCTCACAACTCGCTGCTGCTCCACTGCTCTCCACAAATGTTTTACGTGTCTGATCGATGCTGCATTCAGATAGCGTGTTATCTTAGCATTCTTCCTACATTTCAAATATAGTGAGGTGAATTTGTGTGTATTTAAAATGTTTATCATACTACTATTTAGGTTCTGTGTGAGTTTAAACTGTGATCAATAAGCATAGAAAAAGCAAATAGATAAGCCTAACGTATGTACTTCTTAATATAAAAATGTATAATATAGAAATATAAACATGTATTGTTAATATATCAGACACATTTTGAAAAGGAAAAGAGCTCCATGTACAGCACACACTGGTTTTCACTTTTATTTTCTTGATGCAAAACACAAAGGTATTTCTGTTTAACTAAAAGGTTGAACCAAGCTGTCATTTTGTTGTTCAGTCTGTTCCTCTGGTTTCTTGTGAACTATATAAATACACATACTTAAAGATGAGATCTTGCACCTTTTTTATTTTTTCCAAAGCAAATCATCAAGGAGAATCACAGATATCTTTATGTTCTGCGCGATGCAGCGCTTTAGGAAGTCTTTGACCACAAAACTAATCCAACACAAAAGAGTAAAAAGGCATCAAAAGCACAACCTGCAGCAGCTCGCCATTGTTCCTTTGAAAAAACACTTGATTACTGGGATAAGACTTGTGTTCACGAACGTGTGCATGTGCGTGTGAGCAAGTAACCATAGCAATATACTGTAATTATTGCAGAAGATTCAGCACTTCTTGTCAGATCTGTCCCAGGTGTAAGCATTCCTTTTGGAGAACGCTTCATTGTGTGTGTGTGTGTGTGTGTGTGTGTGTGTTGTGTGTGTGGTGTGTGTGTGTGGTGTGTGTGTGTGTGTGTGTGTGTGTGTGTGTGTGTGTGTGTGTGTGTGTGTGTGTGTGTGTGTGTGTGTGTGTGTGTGTGTGTGTGTGTGTGTGTGTGTGTGTGTGTGTGTGTGTGTGTGTGTGTGTGTGAAATCATTAATTTTAGGGTGAAGACTTGGTTAGGGTAAGGGTTAGGCATGTGTTGGTTATGGTTAAGGTTAGGATAAGTCTCCAGGAAATGCATGTAAGTCAATGTAATGTCCCCTGAAGTGATGTATACATGGTGTGTGTGTGTGTCAAAACACGCGTTCAAGAATCTCTGTGTGCGCAATTTTCTGTGAATTCTTTTCTGACCTTTTAATGCTCTTTAATAAAAAATGTCTCACAGGAAAAGGGAGAACTAAAACCAAGATGTATGGGGATGTGTGAGTAAAAGAGATAGATACAGACAGACAAAGACCTCATTAGGTTTAGGAGGTGTCCTGTCTAGACAGTGTGATGACAGGACACAGAACCTCTGTTTAATGTTTCCTCCTCCCCCCTCGACTTCCAATTCACCCAGCGCACACACACACACATATACACACACATACACACACACATATACACACACACATCACCTGCTCTGCCTCCGGGGATCCACACACACGGTTGCTTAATGTCAAGCAAAATGTTAAGGACATATAGAAGTGTTTAAGTGCTTTTTCTGTGACAAAGTCCTGCAGCCTCTTTATCACAGGAATGTCGTGATAGCACTGACGAGCACCAACGAAGAAGAAGCTGTGGATGTTTTTGTGCTAGCTTGTTTGTTTAATATGAGGCATGCCCAAAAGTTAATGCCCAATTATGTGTTTAAAACATGGATTTAGTGCTTTTTTTTGTCAATGTGAGTTGTTAAAAAAGTACTCTTTTTCTTTTTTATCTGCAAAATTACAATTTCCCTCTGAGTTTGTTTCCAAAAAGGAACTTGAGGAAACGAACCATTCACTCTATATTTTGCCAATAGAAGAAGCTTGAACTTGTAGGGTAACTGAATATGTGTTCTACATTAGGAATAATCTCTCATTAAAGTAAATGGGTGTTTTGAGTCCAAGAAAAACTAAAGAATATGATAAATGACATCCTGGAGATATCTTATTCTAGTTAGGCCTCTTCAGTTTCTGTTATTTTAGAGTTTAATCTTTCGCTTACCTCTCCAACACACACACGGGCAAACAGGTAAATGCATTATTCTTCCCAAAACTCTTTATTATCATCTTCTTGTACTGACAGGATTTCTGCTTGGTAGATAGGGAAAACAACGTTTTAAAATCTAAATCTCATCTGCTTTGCTACGCCCTACAAAATACTTGCCAGAATTTTAAATAAAAGCCTACATGTGTTTTTAAATGAATGGACAAAAACATGCAAAACAACAGCTGTTCCTTTTTTTGACATGCTGTTCAGTTATTTATGTAAAGTTGCATGACATTTGGTTTTAGCTTTATGAGAGTGAGATGTTTATAGTTGGGGCTACCCGGCTGTGTGTGTCTGTGTGTCTCTGTGTGTGTGTGTGTGTTTGGTGCTGGTATGTGTAGCTTTGATGCTGGTTCTCACTCTTCACATGCAGATAAGATAGGCTCCGGCAGCGGCAGCAGTAACAGAGACACCAAGAGATATGGACACCTTTGGACCTTATCACCAGGACCATCACTGTCTGAAGGGCCATGAAGACACAACACAGGTTAGGGTGAGAGGAATGATGGGAGGAAGAGGGAGGAGAAAGGGACATGAGCATTTCATGAAGAGGATTCTAGGACATATGTTCTTCCTTCTATTATAATTATTTTAAAATATGTTTAAACCTGTAGCATGCATGGCGTTTAACAGCAGGCATTTTACTAATTGTTGCAATCTGTTCATATTCAACAAAAGTAGTGACTTCAAGGTGCAGCTGGTTTAGATTTAAAATGTGATGTTATTCAATGAATTAGAATACTTAAGACCGTTTATTTCTATAGTGTTTAAAGGAGATTGAATCACTTCTCCGTGAGTTGCTGTGCGTAATTGCCTGCTGTTTCCAACTCCATCGTCAGGGGTCGTGCCTCAACTGGGCAACATTTATTCTGCTTCAGCGGACACGCACCTTCATTCTGGACGTGTGTGAAGATGTAATTCACGCCTCATTTAAGCTGAAGTCATTAAATTAGCCCACGTTATTGTAAATCACTTGAAATACTTCCTGTAAAGTGCAACTACAAAACCTTATGAAACAAATGAAGTTATACCCAAATACTACTCATAAGGTGCAAACGTAAATTGAGAAATATCACAACTAGTTTTAACTATGTCTGAGAGGCTGTAAAATCATGTTAGAGGAACATTATGATGAATTAATGCAAAGGTATTTTATTAGAGTAGACAGGCTGTCATTCTGACGCGAACAAAATATGGAAATGTGATGTTAAGTTGTCCTTTGTAGCTGAAGAGCTCCACCTCTGGCTCAGTGCGCGCGGAGTGGGCGGTTTCAGAACATACACACGTACGTACACGCGCGCGCACGCATAATATGGACTGCAACCTGCTGATTCCAGTTAGACTTTCATACAGCCTGTAGGAGCACCGTCACTGAGAACACTTCCATTATTAAAGGGCAAATCTAATCAGTGCGCAACATTGGAAACTTTTATATTTCGGAGTAAATAATCCTCTAAAGTGAAATGGCTTCTTTCAGAGGACTTATGTTGGTGAACTGTGTATCAAACGGTGTCTTTTAACCGACTAACCGGAGCGCTCAGAATAAAGTTTCTCATGGTGCATTTTATCCTGAGGCAGCACAGCGCGCTACGGGACTCAGAAATGAAAGCAGCAGCGACACTATTCTGCCCATTTCTCTTTAGGAAGTATTTCAAATGGCTTGATTCACGAGTCTTTCCTCGCTTTTGATCTGTGGCTGCGACAGATAACCGCGCGCTTCGGACGGACTTTGGTTACCATTACGCCTATATTTCACATTTGGATAAGCGACTGAAGCTCCAAGCCAGACACACTTGGGACTCGGGACAGCAACGCGGGACTACACGATGAGCAGCTGCTGGCTTGCCTTGGTCGGATTGTGGTGGAGCGCTTGTTACTGCATGTTCCTGGTCTCGGGGAGTAATTATTCACTGGATGGAAACAACGAGGTGCACCAGGGTTTCATCCACCGGCGGCTGCGGACGCACGAGAAGAGGGAGATGCAGAAGGAGATCCTGTCCATCCTCGGGCTGCCGCACAGACCGAGACCGCATCTGTCACACGGGAAGTACAACTCCGCTCCACTTTTCATGTTGGACTTATACAACACCATATCTAACGAAGAGAAAAACCAGGTGGAAGGCATGTTGGACCGATACCAGTCCATGCGAACCACCCAGAGTCCTCCACTGGCCACATATCAAGAAACTGCCTTTCTAAACGATGCAGATATGGTGATGAGCTTCGTAAATCTAGGTGAGTTCCTTGAAACTATTTTTACTTTAACTTTTTGTTGGTGCTTATTAAGGCTCTCAATGTTTTTTTATTGGTCAAGTTGTTAGACAGATACATTCAATATTAAAATCTAAATTGTCCACATGAAATTAAGCCTGAACAGGTGTTTGGCACAAGCAAGATTAAAGTGCAGGCTCACTATAGGAACAATATTATTACGACAAAAAGTTGTAAATAATGGGATGATGGCGCATGAATACGGAATTATTTTTCACCTGTGCCCTTAGACCCCTGGAGTTTATTTGAAACCAAACTTACATTTTATTCCAAACACGGGCCGCTATCACACCAGACGCAGTATGCACGTTCAGTAAGGGATCCAGAACTTGCTCATTGCGTGAACCACACAGGCTCCCTCTTCTCCTCTCTGCCTAAGACAATCTGATGAGGCTTGTATTGTTTAGGAGTGATTTATTGTTACACGTCGTCCTCTCTCCGGGTAGATTGGCCCTCCTCAGCTCATTTAGAGGACTGACATTCTGTGGTCAGTGTTCCTGTTCAATCTACTCCATGATTTATGTGTTCGCGGGAAAAATAGACCTATCCTCAACAAAACATCAACCAACACCGCTGGTATTTGTATATAGGCGCTATTCCTGCTGTTGACCTCCAGCTCAGAGAGCTGCGGTTTCTGTGCGTAAACTGCGTCGCATTGTTTGTGTTACCCAAACTGATTTGTCTTTAATTAGCTCCAGTGACGATAAAGAGGGACACTTTAATCATAACGAGTTTGGAACATAAAAGCCAAAAGGCCTTCCTTCCATTAGCAGCTCCAGTGTTTACTGGGAGACTCTAAACAGAGCGCCTGAAGATAAACAGAGGCGCTGCCAGAGTCAGGCTCTGCCGGACAAGGAGGCTTAAATCCAGATGGATTGTCATTCTTCTTGGGAACTAAGGGCATTGTCATGATCTGAACAGTGAGGATGTTTCACTGCTGAAGAATGCAGTTTTCTATTACTCAGGCAGGCTCCTATTGAAACAGTAAATCCTTCACATATTTTATCCCTCACCTTTATAAACAATGTAACAGTGTCTCAGTACCACACATGAAGAGGAACATTAATATTTGGAGGAAAAGAAGGCAAATGGTTCTCTACTTATTGGTCCTGTGAGTATTGGTGTTGCAACATGCAGTGATGAAAACCAGATACTCAGACAGAAGGAGGCAGAGGCTTTGGTCTCAAATATCGAAGCCCCTCTGTTGGCTTCTGTGTGGGAGTGTGATGGTGGCGGCGTGGTGTTTGTGTGTCTGTGGTTTTGCTATTCCTGTGCTGTGTCAGTTTGGGTTTGTTGCACATCTGGCTCTCCACTTTGATTAATCGCGTCCTGTGCATCTTTTGCCGATTCCCTCAGATTTCTGCGGTGACCAGGGATTAGGTTGCCATCTCCTCCAGCCGTACACAGAGTCCTAACCGCCCTGGAGGAGGGACGGCTTCCTCCCTGAATGTGATTGTAATTAATGTTGGACAGGCCAAGGCTTTCCATCTGCTTTGCAAATAAGGCCTTGCACGACTACCGTGTGTCATCGCCATCCGATTAGTTTTGATTGCATCTCCTGCTCGATTGGAGCGGTTTGTGCGGATCGACAAAGCTACAGTAGAAAAAGGCCAGAAGCCCTCCTGGGTGGTCCTCTTGTTTTTAAAACCAGCCTAAAAATCTGGATATCATGTGTGGCCAAAGTGAAACTACAAATTAGAATCAAGGTACATGAAAGGAAGCGAAGCGAAAAAGCCAAACAATCTGTCTGAAACTATTTGAAAAATATGCGGCAGGATGAACAGACGGCACCTTAACTGCGTAATCTGTGTTTGTGAAGCCAAATCAAAGAAGAATGCAGCAGCTCCGTTCACAATGATGATCTCATTAAAACGTCTCACAGTTTTACATCGGCAAATCCTCCCTGTGTTGTAGATGTGAGAATCTTGGACTTTAAAACTGACCCACGGCAAATAAAACGATGACAGTGATTTAAGTTTCGGCGTGAACTGATGTCTTTCACAGCCAGCTGCAGCAGTAGCACAGATAGAGAGCTCATTTTCTGAGGGGATTCCCTTGGGGTTCGGACAGATTTAAGAGCCCCTGTGTTACATCCAGTCTCAAGTGCTCTCTGCGAACCATATGCCTCTTTCCCCCCCTCTGCATGATTCATGAAGACCTCTTGTTCAGGCATCCATTCTCCTTAGCTTTCATCGCTAAGGAGCAAGTGGTGGAAAACTTCACATCGGGACACGAGAAGCATATTTTCCAGTTCCTTTTTTTATCTTCTTTCCTATAAAAGCACCTTCATCACTGTTTGCCTTGCGGACGTCCTGCTTTCCACTGAGGTCTATTGAAGTGACACTGTGTGCTGAATGACTCATGCTGTCTGACACACTGCAGCTCCAAACATGTCCTGTTGCACTGCAGGGTCCCCTGGTAATGGCAGCGGTCACTGTTAGAAGTTTTAGACCTCTAGCAGTGCTATGGAGTGTTTTTTCTATGAGTCCCTGTTTTGATTATCTCATGCGTACGCCACGTGAGTGATGCCATACACATTCCTGTCAATGGTTTCACACTATTCCACTGATAAACAGGTTGCGGTAATTTTCCGAGATCTGTGCGACTAGCAAAAGCCGCAGGAAGACTGCAAGGTATAAACATGGATGTAAACAATACAGGGTTTACATTTTGGGAATTCTGTTTTGTGAGAAATTAAATGAAAAGCATGTGTTTTCATGAGAAACACTGGATATTTTGGTTGTTTACAAGAAATCTGGTAAAGAAGACTGTGTGCAGTTTTAAGTACAAATGCATCTTTTTTAATATTTATATTTGGTGAGAACTCCAGTTAAAACATCTTTAGTGGAAAAAGGATGACCTATCCTCTTTGCCAGTTGTCAGTCTCTGGTCACAGACCTATACATCTCTCACAAGGTAATATATTGCTGAGTGAGTGGCCAGACACTGCAAATATTGGTAAGGTGCATCCCAGTGGAAAACAAATAAATGACTTCATTACTCTCTCAATTAATGAGAGTTGACATATTGCTGAAAAAATATCTACCGCCACCGCGAGGGCTATAATAACCAGCAAGGGAAAATGTGCTATTCCTATCAGGCCTGGTTCTTGTGGTTGTGTCAAGGATGCACAGAAATGGCTTCGGTTTCACGGGTCAGAGAACAGGAACTCAAAATGTTGTTCCTGTGTCATCTGCATTTAACTGTGACGAGTTTGCTTGCTGCTGCTCTCCAGTGCCAGCCAGAGAGACAGGTGTGGAGGCCTCCCTGAGCCTGGCTAAAGCTCACATTGCTCGTTGGCTCTCATTTAAATCCATTCATTATTTAAAGTCAATCTTTATTCTACTGTTCATGCAGATTGAAATACCTTTCATGATTAACAGGTGGTCCTTGTGTTTTCCCAGGCTGTATGCATTAATATGGGTGTCTACTCCAATCAATAACATGGGTTTTATAGACCTGAAGCTGTTTGTTAATGACTTAAAAGTAGGGGTGTAACGGTACACGTACCCGTACCGAAATTATTCGGTACGGGCCCTTCGGTTCGATACAGGTGTGTACCGAAGTGTACCGAACGAATATAACGTTAAACGTAAACAATTGAGAACGTGAATAACTTTTTGGAAGTAATCTCAGGTACTGCGTCGCAGCAATAGGCGCTTTCACACTGCGGTACTTTTCCCACAAAGGTTCATGTGAATTTAGTTCATGAGAACTCTTTAGTTCTCATGAACTAAGTACAGATCGCGTTCACACTGGAAAAAGTCCCTGGGGGTGGATTAGGCAAATGAAGCCGCTGACGTCACTTGTTCTTCTTCTGCTTTGGGTTTACTGGCAGGCCGCAAACCACTTCACGGCGTATACTGCCGCCCAAAGTCCCCGGCCGGAAGTCCCCGGAGTTAGGGACTGGCTTCAGTAGAAGCTGCTGGGACTCCCAGCAGCTTCTACTGAAGCCTTCCGAGTAAATCGCCAGAACGCCGACACCTCCTCATCTCCACCACTCCCATGTTTTATTTTGTGTTGCCATAAGTTAGTCTATCTGCGTTTATGCGCTGGGTTAATGCTAGTGCTAATAATGCTAATGCGAGGATAATAAAATGGCGGCTTCACAAAACTTTTTGGGAGTTTTACGGGGCGTGGTTTGCAATCCTTCCAGCCAATCAGAAATTTAGCTCTTTTCTCACAAAAGAGCCGTTCGAAAGTCCCTGCTCTCTAGCAGGGACTTTCGAGGGGGTAAAAAGGTTCACATGAACTAATTTTAGTACCGGCTCTTTTTGGTGTGAACGCGATAAAAGAGTTCACATGAACTAAGTTTACATGAACCTTTGTGGGAAAATTACCGCAGTGTGAAAGTGCCTATTCAGAGTAATTTGCTCACATTGGGTTCAACGCGTCATAGAGCGAGCAAGTCATTTCATTGGATGAGAGGCATAGGTCAGAGGGATGCGTTCAAATGTAGTCAGTAATTTGAGGAACTGTCAAAAATTAATGGCGAACGCAGATAAAGTTGAGCTCGAAAATCCTCCAGCATCATTGAAGCCTCCGGTTTGGGAACATTTTGGTTTCGCAGTTACGTACAAGGATGACGGACAAAGACAGGTGGACCGAACCAAAGCTGTTTGTCGGCATTGTTCAACTAAAATTGGTTACGCGGCTGGCAATACATCAAACTTGCACACTCTTGAAAAGGCATCACCCGAACGTGAATATCACCGGTACCAAAAGAAAAAAGACTGAAGTGCAAACCCAACTCCCAATAGCATTTAATAGTGATGGGAATTCCGGCTCTTCTTGGTGAGCCGGATCATTTGGCTCGGCTCACCAAGAAGAGCCGGCTCTTTCGGCTCCCAAACGGCTCTTCAGTTTACCACTTATTATACCTTTTAATTAAATCAAATGTAGCCCTGTTTTGACTAATGATTTATATTTGTACACATATATCACTTAAATTATTCAATACATCC